CTCCCGTCTCTGGGCCAGGGACATCTGGGGACTCCTGCAGGGGCAGAGTCTGCTCCCCCCATCTTGCGCCCTGAAGCTGGGTCCAGTTGTGCCCACCTCATCACCTCCTGTACCGACTTGAAGGGCACGAAGCCCAGACTCAGCCTGAACAGCATCTCTAAGAAGAGCGTTTGCAAGCCCTGGGGATCACAGACCCGGCTGTTCCTCACCTTGCCTAGGGCCAGAGAACATGCGGACAGGTAAGGAAGAGCCTCCCCCTGGCCAGGTCCACTCCTGCCCCACCAGCCTTGCCCCTCACCCAAGCACTGAGCGAGTCGGTGGCTGTCAGGACAACCAGGAAGTCTTTGAAGCTTACGGTTCCATCACCTGGGAAGAGAGAGAGGAGGGGGTGCCGAAGGTGCCCACCCCGCCAAAGCCCTACTCTGCGTACGCGTTAGGGGCTTGCCAGCAGTTCGAGGCATAGAGCATCCAGTCCTGCCTCTGGCCAAGCGTTGTCCCAGGTTGAGTGGGGGAGAAATAGCCCTTGCCCTTGGGAGCCCCAAGTCAGGATGATTATCACAACAGGAATGTTTAGGGGCTCCGGGATAGGGATGTTGATCAGGGCAGGCTTCCTGGAAGAGGGAAATTTAGAATAGGACCAGGCCCAGGATTTTGTGGGCAAGGGAGGCGTTCTTCAGGGCTAGAGGTGGGAGAGGACAGGCGGGCAGGGACAGGGTCACCCACCATCCAAGTCTGCCTGCCGTAGAACCTCACACATCTCCTGCGGGCTTAGCTGGACACCCACATGGCACTGGGCAGCTTTCTGCTGCGCGTGTCCGTGGTGCCTGTCGGGCTGGAGCTGAACAGTTTGAAGACATCCTGGAATGCTGAGGGTGGGGAGGGGGGCAGGTGGGCAAGGTGAACCACAGGCACAGGAACCCTGAGATTCACCCACTCTAGCTCAGATGGGACTGAGGACTTGGGTTCACCAACCCCCTGTGCATTGTAACTTAATGGAGAACAGTGGCTGCTGTGTGTTGGCACTTGTTAAGTGTCCATTCAATTCTCATGTCCAAAAATTGAACTCAGGGCCCAGGTTCGATCTCTGGTCAGGGAACTAGATCCTGCATGCCGCAGCTAAAGATCCCGCATGCTGCAATGAAGATTCCCGTACGTGGCAACGAAGATCCCGCGTGCCGCGACTAAGACCCGGTGCAGCCAGATAAATAAATATTTTAAAAACAACGACAACATGCTCGCTTCGGCAGCACATATACTAAAATTGGAACGATACAGAGAAGATTAGCATGGCCCCTGTGCAAGGATGACACGCAAATTCATGAAGCGTTCCACATTTTTTATATGTACATACATGTAGCTGATTCACTTTGTTGTACAGCAGAAACTAACACAACATTGTAAAGCAATTATACTCCAATAAAGATGTTAAAAAATAAATAGATAAAATATATGTAACATAAAAAACATGTAATGACCATTCTCAGTTCACAGGCAGTACAAAAAGAGGCCAAATGCTGGACCTGGTCCAAGACTTGTAGCTTGCTAACCCCTATGTTACTGTATATCTGTTGCAATTCTAAGGATCTATAAATATTAAATCATTCTAGTGATCCTATGAAAAAAAAACCCAAACAACAACAGAAACAAACAACAAAATAACTCATGTCCAAGGCCACACCACCAGTAGGGGCACTGCTGGGCTCTGGACTCGGGCAGTCTGGCTCTGGAGCTACGATGCCGAGAGGCTCCAGGAGCCCTGCTGGCACCTGGCCTGTAGTAGGCACTGCAAATTATTATTATTATTATTTTAACATCTTTATTGGGGTATAATTGCTTTACAATGGTGTGTTAGTTTCTGCTTTATAACAAAGTGAATCAGTTATACATATACATATGTTCCCATATCTCTTCCCTCTTGCGTCTCCCTCCATCCCTCCCTATCCCACCCCTCCAGGCGGTCACAAAGCACCTAACCGATATCCCTGTGCCATGCGGCTGCTTCCCACTAGCTATCTATCTTACGTTTGTTAGTGTATATATGTCCATGCCTCTCTCTCGCCCTGTCACAGCTCACCCTTCCCCCTCCCCATATCCTCAAGTCCGTTCTCCAGTAGGTCTGTGTCTTTATTCCTGTCTTACCCCTAGGTTCTTCATGACATTTTTTTTCTTAAATTCCATATATATGTGTTAGCATACGGTATTTGTCTTTCTCGTTCTGACTGACTTCACTCTGTATGACAGACTCTGGGTCTACAATGGAATATTACTCAGCCATAAAAAGAAACGAAATTGAGCTATTTGTAATGAGGTGGATAGACCTAGAGGCACTGCAAATTATTGATGATGAATAGAATGATTCTGCTTGGAGGGGCCCCTGCCAGTATCAGGGCATGATCTTTGCAGGGACATTGGGTCCCCCAAATGTAGAAATGATTCCTTCTACCCCTACTCCCACAGCTCCAAACCCCAGCGGGGCAGGGACCTCAGATTCTTGTTTTCCATCCTTTCTCCCAGTTTCCCTTCTTCCTTTCATCCTGTTCGTCCATCCACCATCCATCCATCCACCATCCAAATACCTTGCTATCCACCAATCCCATCCCTCCTTCCCTCCTTCACACACACACACACACACACACACACACACACACACACACACACAGAGCAACAAGCCCTGGGATTGCAGAGATGAGCAAATTAGGCTGGCATGGAGAGGTTACAATACAATCACTGGTTTCTCACTGTGTCCCCAGCCTCTGGGCAGGCAACTCCATTGTATTCTGCTCCGAGCACCCCCTAGTTTTCCTCCCTGCTCCCAGCCCTGAGGCCCTCACCTGCCAGCTGCCCGGGTGTCAGGGGTAGCAGATTCTTGTCTGCAAAGCTGCCTCGTGGGAAGGAGGCTGGAAAGGCTTTTGTACCTGCTGCAGAGAGATGCCAGGGCCAGGCAGGCCTTTCCCCAAACCCAGCACCCCAGGCCTGGCCTCAGTCCCTGTTCTCACTTCTCAGACCCAGCGCTTGGGCCTGTCTGTATTGTACGGGTGGCCGCAAGGCCCTTGAACTCCCTCGCCACCTGGGAGGGCTGCTCAGCCCGTGGCTGTGGCCGCTGCTGCTTCTGTCTGGGTCAGCAGGGTACGCGCTGCTGCAGCCTCCTCCCCTGCGTCCTCCCGGCCTGCTCCTCTCCTGGGTCTCACGTGAGTAGTCTTTGAGGCTTCTGTGGAGGCCTTGGAGGCGGGGAGAAGACAGGGCCGAAGGGCCCAGCCCACTTGAGTGCCCGACTCCAGGGGACCTGAGACCAGACCTGTGGGTGCACAGCTTCCCCTCCCAGGACCCGCGCCGCCCCCGCCAGCCTGCAGCCACAGTCCTCTCCCTGGGGGATTCCGGGGGCAGTAGCTTGGAGGAGTGGCGGACCTTCCCCCTGCCCACGTCACCTGGACGTTCTCTTTGCCGATGGTGATATCTTGGTCTTCCATCCTCTGCTGCCTGAAGGGCAGTCACAGGCTCGGAGGCCGGTCCAGTGTCCCAGGTCCACAGTCCCCAAGCTGGCTTCCGGGTGGATCTTAACAACTTTTGGCAGGGGTGCCCTTCTCCCTCCCACTGGCCTGCGCCTCTCTGCTGGGGAACCTGCAGTTTTCGTCTTTTGTGTTTCTGCCTCCCTTAAGGCACGTAAATTTGTGACTCCACTTGGAAGCTAACAGGATGGCTGAGGCCCAGGGGAGAAGCAGGCCCCAGAGGCCCCAAGTCAAGGCGTGGGAGGGTGGGATCTAGCCAAGTTGGGGCTGTGGCCCACCTTACCCCAGGACCCCCGGGAGGGCAGGGACCCTTCCTCCAAACGACGCAAACCCACAAACCACATTAACAAAATACTTTGGGAAGATGCATCCCAACAGCCAGACACTCACCTCTGGGTCTCTTCATCCTTCCTTCCAGCCTCCTGACCCCCTTCTCTGGCCCTGGCCCATTCTTAACTGCTCACCCCTTCCTAATCCCATTCTCCCAGGCCCTGGGCACCTCCCTCCTCAGCCCCATCTCAAGGTGGGGCAGGATTCTGAGGACCTGCAAGGTGGAGATTTCACTGCATCGGGAGCCTTGGCCCAGGGTAGGTCTCAGGCTCACCAGGTCCCAAGCCTCGATGCTGCCTCCCCTTCTCTTCCTCCCCAACTTCCCTCTTCCTGCCCATGTCCATCCCCGCACTCCAAGTTCTCTTCCCTCCTTTGCTGCCCTCTCCTCTTCCAGAAGCTTCTCCACATTGCCTGTCCTCCCCTGCCGTGGGGAGGCTTGTGCGTTTGTGTGCATGTGTGTGAGTCACAGGTCCTGTGTGTGTGCACGGCACGTGTGGAACATGCTTCCTCGATCTGCATGTGGCTGTGTCATGCTGACCACGTGTGTAACATGCTGGTCAGCTGCTGGTGTGTGTGTGTGTGTGTGTGTGTGTGTGTGTGTGTGTGTGTCTGGGTTGCATGCAGAAGTGCATCATTACACATGGGCTCTCCCCTACGCTGGAGGTACCTCGGACTCAAGGCGGTGGCCCCTGGAGGACCAATCCTTTAGCTTCATTCTTGCCCTCCTTCAAGCCCTAGACACCACCCCTTTCCCATGCCAGGCCTTCCCCATGGAGAGAAGCAGGAAGAACTCCTTCCAGAAGCTGTCTCATCTGCCCAGCCCCACCCCCAGCAGGCTCTCGCCTCAGGCGATCCCAACGTGCCCCCCTTTTACATCTAAGAAACAGAAGCCTCAGAAAGGGCACCACTGAGGCCTCCCCTAGTCACGAGTCTGCTGCTGGCTGGGAGGTCCGGCTGGGTGCAGGGGAAGTGGGACCACCCATGGGGAGTGAGCAGGCACAAAACAGGGCTGGCAGAGCCCCCAGGGGGCAGGGGCTGCTGGGGTAGCTACAGTGGGGGTGGCGTCCCTAAAAAACTCGAGACCAGGATGCCGCAGCCAGAGGAGTTCACTGGTCCAGGAGCATTTGCACAAAATGTCTGAGCCGGGGGCCAGCACCGTAGGCTTTACTGGTTTTGTCTAGTCTTCTCTGGGGAAGTGGGGGACGACAGCTTAAAATGGATTTTCAGCAATAATGGACCCCCTCCCGAACTGCAACGCAAAAGAGAGAGAGAGAGAGTCACTTGGGCCTTGGTGGGAAGGTCAAAAGAGAGGGGTGAGCCCAGAGGCCTCTCGGAGGAAGGCCCTGGGTCTAAGAGGGCCTCCTCCTGCCATGCGGGTGGGCGGCTGGTGTTCTGTGGTGTTCATTCAACACCAGGAAGCACGGGGTGCTGGGGAACCCCGTTTCCTCATTCCTGGCTTGATGGAGGTGTCCTGGGCCCAGAGCTGGGGCCATCGGGTTCTCAGTAGGGAAGATACTAGCCTGAGCATTTCCAGTGAGGGTGAGGCTGTCTGTGCTCTGGGTGAGAAGCCCCCTAACGCTAGGACGACATTCTAGTTCCCTCTTTGAACCCAGGTCCTTGTCCCTGCCCTGAAGCAGGTTGAGGTCTTGAGGTTGAGACATCACAGCCCACCCATCCCCCAGCCAGTCCCTCATTCCACTGTCCCCACCCCCACCTGGCTGTGTGAGGAATGGGGCCATCTGCACATCATAACACAGCCCCCTCCCGGGGGAGCTTTGGGCCAGCCTCACTTACTCTTTCCCGGCTCCTTGCGGCTGAGGGGACATGTTTGGGGGCTGGAGAAACTTCACCTCCCCTTCAATGGTGGCCTTCTTGAACCCTAGCTTGCTGAAATCAAGGTAAGGGTGAGGGAAGTGCTTGTCTTCCTGCTTCGAAGCATCGTGCGGCTCCCTGGTTTCTCGTGGTTCCTCTGGTGGCTTCTCCAGCGCATCCTGAGGGAGGTTTTCCTGCTTCGAAGCATCGTGCGGCTCCCTGGTTTCTCGTGGTTCCTCTGGTGGCTTCTCCAGCGCATCCTGAGGGAGGTTTTCCTGCTCTGGCTCGTCCACAGTGGGCTGGGCAGTGTGATCCACAGTGGGCTCTGTGGAAAGCGTCATGTCCATCTGGAGTGGGGCTTTGATCACATGCCCCAAATTGGGCAAGTCCATCCTGCTGGAGGAGGCCATGGCCAGGGAAGATGCGAAGTCGATCAGCTCTGCCAGGCCGATGGTTTGTGTGGAGGCGGACGGCTGGGGGCTTGGAGGCTGCTGGGAGACTTCGTCTGGAAGAGCTGGCTGGGCACTGGGGGCCTGGCTCTGCTTCTCGGAGCACACAGTGTCCTTGGGGGCCGACGGCTGGTCTGGGTGGCAGGCGGTCTCTTTTGTGCTCTCCTTGATGGGCTGCATGCTGATCGCCTGTTGCAGGCTGTGTTCTGAGGCCTGGACGAACTTGTCTGCCCAGAAGAAGTGTTTGGAGGTCTGCACACAGATGGAGCGGTGGTCGGTGGATAGCGGGTCCTCCTCTGTGGTACTCGGGTAGCTGGAGATTGACCTCATACTCCATTGGCTGACGTCCTGCTGCATGAGCCCCTCCATGTAGGGGTGGAGTGACTCTGTCTTATACCCCTGCGGCTCAGGGTCTTCACTGAAGGGTTCCAAGTTAACCACCTTCATCTTGGGCTCTGTGTCCAGCTTGGCCTCGGGCTGGAGCATGACAACCGGGCGCACCTCTGGCTGCGGGAAAGGCTTGGGCTTCCGTTCCGGCTCCAGTTCTGGGTCTAGGCGCGGGACCTCTTTGTCTAGGGACTCCAGCTCTAGCAATTCTTTCTCCAGCTGAAAGGTTTCAACAGAAAGCTGAGGAGGCGCCTGCCCCCCAAGGTCCTCCCCGACACCCATTCCCTGCCCTGCCCCCCTCGTGCTTCTTCTCACTTCCTTTCCCACACTTGCCTCTTCCAAGTGACCTGCCTAGGGCAGGGAGGCGGTGTGGGCAGCTGGTGAGGGCGGGTGTGCGTGCTCGTGCTGACATTGGTGCCAGGGTCCCAGAATTGTCCAGGGTAGGGGCTGGTCGGGCTTTAGAGAAGACAGGCCCCAAAGAGCCCTGCCCCTGGACCCCCACCTCCCCATAAGATGTGACGCTGCCCATTGTTACCTCCATGTCATCTTCCTCTTGTACTGACTGGAACTGGTTTTGGTTTATGCCACCCCTAAGACAGAAGGAGACAGAGTGGGTGACAGGGCTCCGTGGGGTGGCTTCAGGGGACGGTGTCTGGAGCCCTTAAGACCCGAGCTGGCAAGATGCCCTCAGCTCACTCCCCTGTCTGTGCCCACTCCCACCAAAAATTCCAGACTCACTCTCAAACTTCAGTGAGTTCTGGAAGTGCCTAGAGAGCTGGCCAAGTTGCCCCCTGCCACCCGCAAAAGAGGGATACAGTTGGTTGGAGGTGAGGCCCAGGAATCTTCATTTTAATCCAGCATCCCAGTGAGCCAGTGCCCTTGAAAGCGGCTCCCCACAGAAAGAAAAGCCCAGAGCAACGCCCTCTCCGGGACCTGCCCGCTCTCAGCTTGGCAGATCTGAAATGCAGGGGTGTGTATGGAGGGTGCCCTTGGTTCCTGTTGGTATTTTGCCATCATCTTGGCCGTCCCCTTCAGTGCTCAGCCACTGTGACCCCTCTCCTTCCTTAGGCAACTGCCCACCCTTCCCTTGGACAGCTGTCCTCAGAGAAAGGCAGCTCTAAGGGGTCAGGTCCCATCCATGTCTTGGGTGCGCCCCACCACCCCTCAGTCCTCCTCCAACGTCAGGGGCTGGGGGCAGAAGCAGAGGAGGATATGACCCCCACCCCCTGCTGCCTTTTGGCCTGGATACTGCCCTTGGGGAGATTTTGGAAACGGGCAAGATAGAGGAAGATCTTGGGTGGGTACACATGAAAACCTCACAGCCATGGCAGCTGGTGAGGGCTGGTGATCTTGGAGGGTTGGGGAGAGGTCCTACGATGATGGGGGGGACTAGTTCTCACTGTGTATCCACAATGTCCACCGACTCCTTGTCACAGCAGGGAAATCCGTTGGCACCTGGCAGGGAGAAGGAGGTGAGGGCAGGGGAGCTGCAGGCGGGGACAGTCCCTGAGGGGTTCTGGAGTCCGGACTGAAGGTGCTGCTCCAGCCACCCCCTCCCTCCCTGTCCCTCACCTAAGCCCATGTGCCGTCCCCTCCTCCACGTCTGCTCCCTCCACCTTCCGTGATCCATGACTGTCCTCCATTAGGGCGAATACTAACCGCGGTCACTTCCCGTTCATTGAGGGCTTCTAGCCCAGGTATTGTGAGGAGCACTTTATATGCTTCAGTTCATTGAATCAACACAAAAAATGAGAAGAGGTTCATTTGCCCAAAGTCCCTCAGCTGATCATTCAGGAAGTCAGGACCTGATGCAGATTTCACTCAAGAAACTCTTTACTCCCCTGTCCCGCATGCCGTCCTACCCTGGAGCCTACAACTGTGTGGGGTTCCTCATCACACCCCAGATGAACTTCACCTTTCTCCATTCCTGCCCCTCTGCCCCCTTTCTCCACTCTCTCTGGCCATGCTTCAGATTTGCCACTCACTCTAACCCTGGCCTCTCCTGCCCTGAAATCTGTCCTCTCTTCCCCTGGCTTCTCACACCATCACACCCTGGGGTCATCCATCTCCAACTCTGGGCCAGAGTTCTCACCCCAGGTGCTTAATTTGAGGTGATGCTGACACCCATCTGGTTATTTATGAGCTCCAGTCATCCTCTGCAGGAGAGACTGACTCCCTGGGGGAGCCCCCCCACCCCGCCCCAGTCCCCTTCCTGGAAGCGTGTATCTTTTATTGCAGAAGCTTCTTTTTCACCTTTTGGGGATAGGAGCCACCAGGCTGTCCCATTCTCTGCTCCCTAGCATACTGGATAGAAGTTGTTGGTGGGGCCATCATGGCAATGGGCAAGCTGAGTCCCTACGAGCCTGGAGTGTGGCAGGAAGTGACAGCCTTGGCTCTGGCTGAGAAGAATTGCTCCCAGGATTAGACCAGAAGGATTAGAATGTGCTGTGGCCTCTCCCTAGAGATGTAGAGGCTGGAGAGTGTCCTTGAATGGCTGGTGGTGTTCCTGGGATTTGGCTTCCTCCATGTTCAGCCTGGGCCTGGGATCCAGAGTGCTGGGTTAAGAGTACACCAGGGACAGGCTCACAGTGGTGGGCTCAGTGGTCTCTTCGGAACCCATCACCTCCTTGACCACCATGCTTCCTTCGACCATCCCTTGGCTTTCTCCCCACGTCTCGCTTCCTCTGCAATTCTACCTGCCCCAAATGTTGCTGTTCCTCAGGCTTCTGACGTCAGAGCCTTCTTTTGCTTGCTTTACAAAGTTTCCCTGGGAAATTTAATCAACACCTTCAGCCTTAACCCTTCCATAAACAGCAACTGGATATGGATAGAAGGGGAGAAATTATTATGGTGTAAACCTCATTGCAGCACTGGGGGATGGAAGCAAAAGTCTAAGGTTGATTCAACTTGGGGCCTCTGTACCCAACTTGGGGATGTTCTATTAGGGATTCAAGTGACATTCTGTAGTGCGTGAAATCATTTCAGTGTCCAATTTTGGGTTGCTATTATATAGAAATGTATTGATCTCGTATCCTGTAACCATCCTAAAATCTTATTAGTTCTAGTAACTTTTTTTAGATTCCATAGGGTTTTCTATGTAAACAATAATGTTCGTGACTCAACAGTCTTACTTCTTCGTTCCCAACCTGGATGTCTCTAATTTCCTTCTCTTGCCTTATTGCACTGAGAATAATCTCCAGTAAAATGTTGAAGAGAATTGAGAGTGGACATCCTTGCTTTGCTCCTGAGCTTAGGGGGAAAGCATTCAGTATTTCACCATGAAGTACAATGTTATAATTTTTCTCATAGATGCCCTTTATCAGGTTGAGGAAGTTCCCTTCTATTCCTAGTTTACTTAATTTTTAAATAGGAAGGGATGTTGGATTTTATCTGATGCTTTTTCTGAATTTACTGAGATTATCATATGGTTTTTATTTTATATTCTGTTAATATATTATGTAAGTTATATATAGCATATATTATGTTAACATATGTTACATATTATTCTGTTAATAATTCTTTTATAATTTGTTTATGGTGAAATAAATAGATTAAAAAATTTATTTATTTATTTATTTATTTATGGCTGTGTTGGGTCTTCATTGCCGCATGTGGGCTTTCTCTAGTTGCGGTGAGTGGGGGCTACTCTTCGTTGTGGTGCGTGGGCTTCTCATTGCAGTGGCTTCTCTTGTTGCGGAGCACAGGCTCTAGGCGTGCGGGCTTCAGTAGTTGTGGCACGTGGGCTCAGTAGTTGTGGCGCATGGGCTGAGTTGCTCCGCGGCATGTGGGGTCTTCCCGGACCAGGGCTCAAATCCATGTCCCCTGCATTGGCAGGCGGATTCTTAACCACTGTGCCACCAGGGAAGCCCTAAATTGATTTTTTTAGATGTTAACTCAATCTTGCATTCCTGGGACAAATCTCATTTGATCATGATGTATTATCTTTTTATACATCGTTGAATTTGATTTGCTAGCTTTCAAAAAGGATTTTCACATACATGTTCACGAGGTATATTGGCGTGTAATTTTCTTTTCTTATTATGTCTTTGTTAGGTTTTGATACGCTGGCCTCATAGAATGAGTTGAGAAGTATCCCCTCTTCAATCTTCTGAAACAGATTGTGTAAAATTGATATTATTTCTTCTTATTTTTGGTAGAAATCACAAATGAAGCTTGTGGACCTGGGCTTGGAGTTTCCTTGTGTGAAGATTTTTAATTACAAATTCAACTTTCAAAAATAGATACAGGGCTATTTAGCCTATCTATTTCTTCTTTTTTATTGTGGTAAAATATACATAGCATAAATTGCCCTTTTAAAACTATTTTTAAGTTTACAGTTCAGTGGCATTAAGTACATTCACATTGTTATGCAACCAACACTATCCATCCCCAGAATATCTATTCTTCTTGAGTCAGCTTTTGGAGTTTGTAATGTTTTTTTTTTTTTTTTTTTTTTTTTTTTTTTTTTGGCGGTATGCGGGCCTCTCACTGTTGTGGCCTCTCCCGCCGCGGAGCACAGGCTCCGGACGCGCAGGCTCAGCGGCCATGGCTCACGGGCCCAGCCGCTCCGCGGCATGTGGGATCTTCCCAAACTGGGGCACGAACCCACATCCCCTGCATTGGCAGGCGGACTCTCAACCACTGCGCCACCAGGGAAGCCCTGTAATGTTTTTTTAAGGGAATTTATCCATTTCACCTAAGTTGTCAAATTTATTGGCACAATTTGTTCCTAATATTCCCTTGTTATCTTTTTCATATCTAAAGAATCTGTAGTGATGTCACCTCTTTCATCCCTCATGCTAGTAATTTTTGTCTTTCTTTTTTTCTTGTTCATTTTGTCTGGAGATTTATCAATTTTGTTGGTCTTCTTTTTTTTTTTTTTTTTTGTGGTACGCAGGCCTCTCACTGTTGTGGCCTCTCCCGTTGCGGAGCACAGGCTCCGGATGTGCAGGCTTAGCGGCCATGGCTCACGGGCCTGGCTGCTCCGCGGCATGTGGGATCTTCCTGGACTGGGGCACGAACCCGTGTCCCCTGCATCGGCAGGCAGACTCTCAACCACTGAGCCACCAGGGAAGCCCTGTTGGTCTTCTTGAACCAGCCAGAGATATGTCGGATCCCTGTCTGGTCACCCTAAAGTGACATCTGCCAGGCAATAGGCTCCTGAAGTCATAGGTTCCCAATCAGCTTTTTATGATTTCACTATTACACATGAACAACCAAGCATCACCAGGCATTTGAGAAAACTGCTAACATAGGAGTGACAGACCAAGAGAAAAAAGCACTCCAGAGTACGAGAGGTAATTTGAGAAACTGAAGGAAACTGAAAAATTCTGATCATCTTCAGAGATTCAGAAATGAAGATATTCAACAATATATATTGCATCCAGAAAACAAGAACAGGATACTATTTAAAAAGAATTAAGAAAAGAAAGAGCTTTTTGGCAAATAGAATTGGAAAATAAAATACAGAGAATATTCCTAGAAAGTAGAACCAAAATATCAAGACAATGTGAGAGAAAAGGATCAAAAGGAAATCTGGGGCTTCCCTGGTGGTGCAATGGTTAGGAATCTGCCTGCAAATGCAGGGGACACGGGCTTGAGCCCTGGTCTGGGAAGATCCCACATGCTGCAGAGCAACTAAGCCCGTGTGCCACAACTACTGAGCCTGTGCTCTAGAGCCTGCGAGCCACAACTACTGAAGCCCACGCACCTAGAGCCTGTGCTTCACTACAAGAGAAGCCACTGCAATGAGAAGCCCGCACACCACAATGAAGAGCAGCCCCCCACTCATCGCACCTAGAGAAAGCCCACGTGCAGCAATGAAGACCCAATGCAGCCAAAAATAAATAAATAAAATAAAGTTAAAAGGAAATCTAATTCTGGGTTATAGAAAGGGGATTCAGAAAGAATGGAGAACATGGAGAAGAAAAGAGAAATCAATATTTCCCTGAGCTGAAGGATGTCATTGGCTTAAAAGTGTTTACTGAATGCCCAGCACTACAGATGTCAAAAGATCTTTGTTGTAAAAGTTCATTGCACCAAGAACAAAGGATTCCTAAATGTTTCTAAGTGGAAAAACAAGTCACCTACAAGGGGAGGAGAATCATACTGGCAGCAGAGTTAGCAACAAAGCTTGTCTTTAAAATTTCTGAGGAAAATGGTTTTTAACCTAGAATTCTATATCCAGCCCAACTATCAATTCAGTCATGGAAAACTCAGAAAATTTACCTCCTCTTTTTTTTTTTTTGGGGGGGGGAAGTTATTTGAGGATGTGCTAAAGCAAAATAAAGGTGTAAAACAACAGAGTCAGGAATGAAATAGTGTGTCCACCCCCAGAAAGAAGCTAAGTCCCAGATGTTAACTGTATAGAGGCCTACAACCAGTACACATTTGTGCAGGAGAATAGAGGATCCTGGGCAGTAGGTCTCTGAAATAAAGAAGACCTGACAAGGTAGTTGGCTAGATGTAGAGGTTGAAGAAAACAAAGACTATAATAAAAGCAAAGAGTACAAGGAAAAGGCCACTAAAAACTCCAGGAAAAACAAAAAGCTGTGTGAGAAAGAAAAGGTAGTTGTGGTAACTTTTCTGGCCCTGCAGTGAACAGTTGTTATGTAGTCACAATAAGGTAAATCCTGTTTATTAACTTTCAACTTTTAGAATCAATATATAAACAAAATTTGGAAAACATAATTATGGTTATGGGACAATATGAATGTTACCAACCTTGATATTAAAAAAACCCAGAAATACAGGTTAGAGGCTTTGGGAGGTGTAAGGCAGGGAGGAAAGCTGAAGGGAAAGGTAGGGTCACTACAAACTTCATCTTACTATGTGTGGTGTCAAAAGGTATTCTCTAAAGTTGATGAAAAAAATAAAGATATAAGTATATTAAATTTACAAAAGTTATCAGCATATCTAAAAACAATTGAAGTTGGGAGGATGGGGGAGGGTGGCGCCATTAGAGCAAGAAAGTGGTAATGTCTAGAGCTGATAAACCAAGAAAAAGCCTGTGAGCTTGTAGAGAGATAAGAAGGTAACTAGGCAGAAAAACTGTTCACGTGAAACAAGAGTGGTTGCTCTGAGGAGTGAGGCTGGGGGTGTGTGGTATAGGGGATTCTTGTTTCTCATCACTGAATAAGCTCTTCAGTACTATTTAACCACATGCATATATTTCTATGATAAAGTTAAAAGAAAATGTTGAGCCCCAGGTACTGGCCAGGCACTGTGCTATGGGCGGAGGAGATAGTGATGAACATACACAGTCCCTGCCCCCTTGGAGCTTTCAAGCCTGTGGCTGTGACTGCAGGAGACCCTCCAATCTCTATTTCTTACTCTCACTTCTCCTGAGTTCTAGACTCAAACTGCAATCACTGATTACACATTTCTCCTTCAGGGGCCCTCAACTTCACCTTGTCCAAAACACTACGGATTCCTTGTCAAAGCCTGGAATTCCCCTGTTTCCTATTGTGACGTTGCTCAGGATTCGCCTCTTCCTGAAGACCTTCCAGATTCTACCTCGAGGTGCTGAGCTAGGGACTCCTCGTCCAGTTGCCCCCACCCCACCCCACCCCTGCAGACTTCTATCTAAGCACACAGCTTCTTTCTGACCCTCAGTTAGAGGTGGGTCGGGTGCGTGGGTTTCTCACTTTGAATCTCTGATCCTCTACACAGAGAGTCAGATATAACGTGGATGCTTAGCAAAGGTCTGTGCAAAAATATGGTTTCCTTATCCCTCTCACCCTGCCAAACCCTGCGGTGTATCCCCCATTTCTGACCTCAACTTCATACCCTGGTGTCCAGACTCTAGCCTGGCCAACACGGTTCTGCATGTCTGACCTGTCTTCCTTTCCAATCTCTCATCTCTCGATAACCTCTGCCTGATTCATCCTTCATCCTATCACCCCAATTAGAGACCTGGGTCATTTGTGACCCTCTCACTTCCCCAGCTTCTGGCCTTCCCACCACCGCTGTTGCTGACCTTCTCTTCTGACACCAAAGTCAACACAAACCCAGGACTCACTACCCCTCAAAACTGAGCTCTGAGTGCTTTGCACACATTCGATCCTCAGAGCCACTCTATGCACAGGTGGCCACGACTCTCCTCTTACAGATGAGGAAGCTTGCACAAGTCACACAGCTCTTAAGAGCAGTACCATGACCTGAACACAAGTCGGACTGGCTCCAAACCCTGTGGTGCTAACCATTGTGCTGTCTGAAATTTCTTTAGGCCTCTAGATGGACCACTGAACCATGTGCCCCCACCCCCATCCCCACTGGGCATCTCAATGACTGCAGAGTGAGCCTGCTGCATCACCCCTGCCTCTGCTCACGTCTAGACTCTAGGGTGGCCTCAAAGATCCTGCATGGTCTGACCTCTGCCTTCTTTTTTCATCTCCTGGTATCCAGTTCCTTGCCTTGCCCCAAGCCCAAGACACCCTGGAGCATGGCAGGGTCTTTTGTGCCCTAGTGCCTTTGCACATGCTATTTCTGATACTCAGAAAGTCTCTCTCCTGACAAAATCCTGCTCATGCCTGACAGCCCAAATCTCCATTGTCGTCGTCTCAGTGATAATCCTAGCTATCCAACCTACCTTTTAATTTTTAGTTAACTCATCAGACTCAGGGCCTAGCACAATGCTAAGCCCTTACAAATAATAAATGCTAGCGAGGGTGTGGAGAAAAAGAAACTGTCCTATACTGTTGGTGGGAATGTTCTCACTATGGAGAACAGTATGGAGGTCCCTTAAAAAACTAAAAATAGAGTTACCATATGATCCTGCAATCCCACTCCTGGGCATATATCTGGAGAAAACTCTAATTCAAAAAGATACATGCACCTCAATGTTCATTGCAGCACTATTTACAATAGCCAACGCATGGAAGCAACCTAAATATCCATGGACAGATGAATGGATAAAGAAGATGTGGTATATATATATATATATATATATATATATACACACACACACACAATGGAATATTACTCAGCCATTAAAAATGCTGAAATAATGCCACTTGCGCAACATAGATGGACCTAGAGATTATCATACTAAGTGAAATAAGAGAGACAAAGAAAGACAAATATCATATGATATTGCTTATATGTAGAATCTAAAAAAAAAAGATACAAACAAACTTATTTACAAACTAGAAAGAGACTCACAGGCACGGAAAACAAACTTATGGTTACCAAAGGGAAAGCGGGGGCGGGGGGGTAGGGATAACATATACACACTACTATATATTAAAATAGATAACCAACAAGGACTCACTGTATAGCACAGGGAAGTATACTCAACATTTTGTAATAGCCTATAAGGGAAAAGGACCTGAAAAAAAATATATAACAATTACTGTGCTGTACACCTGAAACTAATATGACATTGTAAATCAACTATACAATTAAAAACTAAAATAGGACTTCCCTGGTGGTGCAGTGGTTAAGAATCTGCCTGCCAGTGCAGGGAACACGGGTTTGAGCCCTGGTCTGGGAAGATCCCACATGCCGCGGAGCAACTGAGACCGTGAGCCATAACTACTGAGCTCGTGTGGGGGGGGAAGCTGCTCTCTGGTAGTTGGTTCTTGGCACATTTTGAAGGCTGGCCTATGTCCTCCTGGGAGAGAAGGTCTTGAGAAGAAATCTTCCATTTCGGGGGAGGGGGGGATCTGAGCCCCCATTATTAGAAACCTGGGAGATCCAGGGCCCTGAGGGGCAAACATCTTTGCTTGTTGGTACGGAGAAGAGTGCAAAGCACAACGGATGCGCTCAGTAAACATCTGTTGAAGCAGATTGCTTTTCCTTGCACAAGCTCCAAGCATCAACCAGGAACAACTTGATTTGATTTGGGGGTGGTTCTCGGCAGTTTGGGATAATTCATGTGTCGTTTCTGGGCACAGGGCCACTGCTCTTTCTGGGTACCCTGAAGCCCTCCAAGAACCCGCCGGGTCTGCAGCCTCCACCCCTCGGTGCGCACGTGTGTACACACACGCTTGTGCACCGCGCAGGGCCAACGCTGGGTGGGTGTGGTGGTCAGGGTAGCACCGCCCCTCATCCTCGCTGGGATCGTGAGGGTTTTGGCTGGGGTCGACCTTCCTTTCAGGCGCCAGGCAGGGGCCCCGGCCAATCCCCGCCCCCGGCGCCCCGCCCCTCACTTTAACTTTTCCCGCCCGGCCCCGCCCCGGCCGTCCCTCCGCGCCCGGCCCCGCCTCGCCGCGCGCCCGCCCGCTCCCACCTGTCACCCCCATGCTGACCGAGGCTCTGTCTGAGAGGCGGGGAGCGGGCTGGTGGCTGCTAACGCCTCCGCCTCCAGTGCGCTCTTTGGTGGCGGGCTGTGGAGGGCGGTGGAGATGCCGGGGGCGCCGGCGTCTGTGATGTCGCCGCCTCTGTGACATCCCTGCCGCGACCGCTGCGGGCAGGGAACAGCGCTCACGATCCCGGCGAGTGGGTGGGCTTGGCGGTTGGGGGGGGCATCTTCCGGAGTGGGCTGCCCCACCTCGCCCCGCAGCCAGCCGGATGCCCCTCTCCTGGAGACATGGGGCGGCCCTGCTCTCTGCAGCAGGCCCAGATTGGTGGAGGGCAGCGACCTGTAAGCCTGGGGTCTGCTAGGCTGAACTTTGCACCTGCCCTGGGCACACTGGCACAAGGCCGCTGCCCCTTCTGTGCGCCCAGGACCCTCCAAGAACCTGCTGAACCTGCCACCTTTACCCCAAGTTGTGCACGTGTGTCCAGTGCACACACACAGGGACACAGCTTTGGGGTGCAGAGCCAGATTAGATAAGGCACCCTGTGCGCTGGTGGCATCCATCCTCAGACAGGTCCTCTCCCACCACCAGGGAACCGACTTTGGGAAAGTCATCTCTGATCACCTGCAGACACTTGGGTGGCTGGAAGGGCTGGGAGTGCAGGCTCACTCCCAGTTCAGTTCCCAGGAAGCCAGGCCTCAGGGACAGAGGAGTGGCGGGGGGGGGGGGATGTCTTTGTTCTGGGCATGTGGTCTGCCCCCACCTAACCCTGCTGGGTCAGTGCCCAGGCTCGACACCCTCCTCCTCCTCCCCTCAGCCTGGCAGTGTTCTGCCAGGGACTTCCCTGCTGTCACCGGGTGGGGCATCTTGCCTAACTGGTCTGAATGGATAGCTCAGAGGCGGAACTGGAAGCACCAACCGGGAGGAGTGGTGGGAAAAGCAGCCCCATTCAAGGGCTGAGAACAGTCCTTGCCTACGGGGCAAGATTGGACAAGGTCCCAGCAAGAAGGCGCAAGGAGGCTGCTGTCAGGATGTGAGGTTCAGCACACAGGCAGGCGCGAGTGGAGACAACCGTGGCCCAAACACACTTATTACCTCAAACTTTATTGCCCACGAGGAGTTCTCTACCGTCTCAACTCTGCAGGACCAAGGCTGCAGTTCTTCATGCATGGGGGGGCCGGGGGTCTCTCCCTGGGGAGCAGCACGGCTCAATGTGGAGAGCTGGGCAGAGGCCACCTTGGCAAAACGTGGGGATGAGCTTCTCCCCAGATGGAACCTCAGGGGACATCCCCTCACCCCACAACAATTCACAGTTGATTAATGCTACATGAGTGCTGATCAGCTCCCCCGGAAAGAAGAGGCTGGGTTGGGGTGATGGTAGGGGGTGCTCACCTTAAAGAAACCTGAAGGAGGTTTGAGGGGTCACATGCATGGAGAAGGGTCAAGAGCTGAGTCCCTTCACCCCATCTCCTGGCCTGCTTGTGCTCATGCAGAACCGCTGGCCTGCCCTCCTGGAGGGCAGCCATGAAAGTGCTTGAGGTCATCAGAGTGCAAAGTGCAGCTGGCAGTGCCCCCAAGACCAGGGGCAGCAGGACCAGTGAGTGTCTCGGGAAGCTCACGTGAGGCTGTTGAGAGCCGTGGCCTGGGTAACAGTAGCACCTGCATCTGCCGCCTTCTCTCGAGTCTATCGTGCTCTGTCCTCAGACGGTTCCCGTCAGGTAGGTCTCATGTCGCCCTTCGCTACTACAGATGAGGGAGCTGAGTGCCAGCTGCGCAGGGGCGGTGCTGGGCCTGCGGTTGGGGCTCGGGGCCTGCTGCTCCGGGGAAGACTCGTGGCCAGCAGCGAAGGGGCATGTGCTTAGGGACTGAGAACCACGTCACTCGAACGCCTTCTCTGGTCCTTGCTGAAGCTGAGCTCAGCTCAGGGCCTGGGTTGCGGCTCCCTGAGAAGTGTGGTGTTTTCTCCCAGGAAGACCCCCAGTGTCAGGCATTCCTCCCTCCCTGACCTGGTCTGAAAAACACCTAGAGATAGAAGGGGGCCTGATGGCCAGGCAAGGCCGGCCAAGGGCGTCAGAGGGCCCCCTCCATTAACCCAAGGGTAGGCACACCTGCTGCCCCAGTCCTGTACTGGGCCTGGGGGTAGGTCATTAGATGCTCATACCTGCCTGGAACCCGAGGGAGGGGCTCACCCACCTCTCTGGGACCTGGGCCGGAAGCCACTCTCCCCTGACTGCCAGCAAGTGGTCACTGATCCTAATGGGTCAGGCCAGCTTGTCAGGACCAAGGCAGAGAAGACCCTCTTTGTTCCCCATGGGAAGAGGCCTCCTGTCTTCCTCCTCCTCCTCCTCATGTGGGCTCAGGAAGGACACAGGTGGGAGATCCTGGGAGGTGTTCTGCTAGCCCCACCTCACTGCTGCCAGCCCCTGGTCCCACCGCTGAGCCACAAGCTGGCAGGCCCCTGGGAGCAGGCAGGCTGAGCCTGTGTCTCGGGGGCAGCGCTGAGCACCGAGAAGGAAGGTCACTTCTGGCCAAGTGGAGCCAGTGGTGGAAGGCTGGTTAGGGCCTGTTCTCCAGCTGGCCATGCTTGACCCTCCAGCTCCAGGCGAAGCTGCCGTCAGGGGCCAGGGTGCACTGCAGGTCGATGCCCGAGTCCGGCACCTCCATGTCGTAGCGCACGGGCTGCCCGTCCTTGGTCACCAAGCTGAAGGCTGAGGCTGGGATCTGCGGGCAGAGCAAACGAATGGGTCTGAGAGCGGCAAGGGGCACCGAAGGTTCCTAGAAGTGTGGTGCTGACGGCCTCCTGCCGTGCTGGCAGACACCTCCCTCCAGCCGAGTAGGCAGCCCTGAGGTATCAGCTGCCTTTCCTTCTGGAACACTTGCAGAACCTCTCCTGGCCCAAGTGTGGATCCTGAGGACCCTTCAATCACCACGGCCAGTCTTGCCCTGGGACCCCAGGGGACATCTGGGGCCAGCTATTTCCTCTGGTGCCATTTCTACTTATTCAAAAGCCTCCTTCCTGGAGGACTGGGCTAGGTGCACTGGGTTCTGGGGCTCTGCCCCTAAGCGTGCACCTGCCCCCTTACCTGGCTGCTGATGCCGGTTGCGATGTCTCCCACCTTGACCCGGTGGAATTCCCGGATGTGCAGGTGTTCGCCATTGAGAGACTGTATTTGGACTTTCACACCTAGAAGGCAGGTAAGGTGACCGTCAGGGGAGTGGCTGCTAGCTCCCTAAGGCGCCCCGTGTAGGGGGAAGCAGGGTGGCTGTGGGGAAGCTGCAGAGATGACATGGAGGATGGAGTGGCTGCAATGTTATACCCCTGCTAGCTCTTACTGGCCATTTCCTGTCAACACCAGGAATTTGGCCTGCACAGTGCAAATATCTAGGGTTGGCTCCTGTGGGGAAGTAGTATTTCAACTTACAAAGCAGAAAGGAACTGGAAACAAAGATTCTTAAATTAGATTGTGGGCAAATTAGATTTTAAGTCCCTGAGGTGGAGCGGCCTGTGGCCAGGCATGGGGGCTTGATGCCATGAGTCTCACTGTCCCCAGGGAACCGTAAGCTGATGAAACCCTCATTCTATCAAAATCACAACATGACCTCTGCAACCATGCTTGAAAACAGAGTTCTACATATGTTGTCCTTCTCATCTTCTGACTTCAAATGTCAGAGGAGGATCTCAGCAAACCTACTACTGAGTTTTTTTTTTTTAATATTTATTTATTTTTGGCTGCGTTGGGTCTTTGTAGCTGTGCACGGGCTTTCTCTAGTTGCGGAGAGCAGCGGCTACTCTTCGTTGCAGTGCGCAGGCTTCTCATTGCGGTGGCTTCTCTTGCTGCGGAGCACGGGCTCTTGGTGCATGGGCTTCAGTAGTTGTGGCTCATGGGCTCTAGAGCTCAGACTCAGTAGTTGTGGCGCACGGGCTTTGTTGCTCTGTGGCATGTGGGATCTTCCCGGACCAGGGCTCAAACCCGTGTCCCCTGCACTGGCAGGCGGATTCTTAACCACTGTACCACGAGGGAAGCCCCTATTGCTGACCTCTTGATTAAAACGCTCATGGGGTCCCATTCTTCCTTTTCCCTTTAGAAGACATTAATCGCTCAGCTTTGGGACTCCAGGCCAGGAAAGACTGCTCTCTGCCCCAAGCTAGAGGCCTTCTGGGACTCTATCAACTGCTCACAAGGGGCAATGGTCCTTGACTGCCCCATGAGGAAAGGCTCTGGGTGATCAGGGCCTTTACTCTAAACCAACTTAATGGCCAGGTACCTCAGATTCTGGGTGCCAGGTGCCTTCCTCTCCCTTCCCCACTGTGCCCCACTCTCAGACTCCCCAGTCCCAGGCGGATCAGGGGACTGTACCGTTGAAATAGCTCGGCGTGTCGGTGGGCCGCCCCCGGGCCAGCACCATGTTCCAGCTGGAGCTGCGGGCCTCCGCCTGGCTGCCCCACGAGTGCACGCCGGAACTCAGGGTGTCCCGCGAGCTCTGAGAGGCCTTGGACGGGTTCTGAAACAGAAGGGGGCACAGACTCAGGCCCCCGGGCTCAGGGAACCATCTCTGGCCTTGGTCTGATTTGGCGAGGAAGTGCCCATGTCCTAGGCTGGAGCGTGGCTCTCCTGAGCATTGGGGCTCAGCACAGGGCTGAGCTCCTGAGGGGTCCTTGGGCTGGAGGAGGGTGAACAGTAATTCTATGGGCACCAAAGCCAAGCCTTTCCCCTCACTATCCTAGTAGCCAAACCAGTCCCTAATTCCCGGGTGTGTTGGAGATGGACCGTCTCATTCTGAGAAACCAGGACCCCTGCCCCAGTGAGGACCCCTCCCAGAAGGAACGGGCACCCCTGTCACCTGCCCTTTACCCACTACTTGCACATGGCCCCTTCACTGGCCGGACACAGAGCCACCTGCCCTGTGCCCCGGCTCCTGGCCCACGGCCGACTCACCTTCTCACTGTCATCTGACAGGGAGAGGCTGTCGACGCTGAGGCATGACAGGATTTGCTCCTGTTCCTCCAAAGAAAACGGCTGCGACAGGCTGTTCAGAAATAATTCTGCAGAGAAAGGCAGAAGACCTTGTGAAAGACTGGGAGGGTCCGGCTGTGCCGTTGGCGTTCTTCTGCACAGATTGCTGACCCTGGGGAAGAGGACGAAGCCCAGGCCTTGGTGCAGGGCCCAGGCCAGTGCTCAGGGACCTGGATGCCGTGGCTGCCCGTACCTATTTCCAGCTGTTGCAGCTCTTGCTCGGGGAAGGTTGCCTTCCGCTCTGGTGAGCTGGAGTTCTTGGCTGGGGCCGGATCCAGGGAGGACAGAGCCAGTGGTTCCCACGTCCTGGACTCTTCTTTGCCCCAGTGCAGGCTGGGAGACTTGTTCTGCTCTGGGGGCTCTGGGGGTGGAGGAGGCTGGAGCTTAGGGGCCCCGCCTGCTGCATCCTCAGCTGGCTGGGGCCCCGGGTCCCCTGGTGAGAGCTCCCCTGGCGACAGCTCCACTGGCGGGGCACGTAGGGTCTGGTGAGGGTGCCCTTGGCTTGACGGTGGGTGGGCTTGGAGTGGCGGCGGATGTCTTGGTTCTTTGTACTCTCCCCTCCAAGGGCTCCTCAGACCTCCCACTACAAAACAGAGAGCACACATGGTGAGGTGGAAATGGGCCAGGCCAGGTGGCCTTTCCTGAGCAGAAGAGGGCCAGAAGCGGGCAGTGAGAGTGGCCTTTTGCCCGGCCAGGACATGACTTCGGAGGGCAGTGTGTGGTCTCCAGAGGAGGCCTCTTCCGTAAGATGGCCCTGATGATGGGACTACGACAGTATTTCTTTTATTCCATTTTCCTCCTAGGTAACAACTGCAAATTTAAAAATTACAGAATTGGCTCCAGAGAAGGACTTTGTTAATATTAATAGTAAAGAGAAGATTTAAAAATAGCTCTGGGGTAATGCCAACTCACAGTTCCCAGGCGAATGGGCCTCGCTGACCCTCCGT